GAACTCGAAGGAGGATGAGGAGGAGGAAGAAATCTCTGCAACAGGTAATTTCCATGTCTTTGGTATGGAGAAGAATGAGCAAAGATAGGGAAACATTTTGTCTGTGGAAGAGGAAGAAGGGTATTTTGAGTAGGCTCTTTTAAAATGTTGACTGCCGGCTTCTGCCATCTTCTTACCACTCCCATTCTTTTCTAGCTGTAGTAGTGGATGATGGAAAACACCTTTTTGTGTTACTTGAGAATTGAAGTTGATTATCTTGATCCCTGGTTCTGTCCTTCAACTGACATGGTTTGGTTAACTGTTCCACTTGCACACTGTAGTTTGTTTCTTGTGATAACAAAGATAATTAGTAATGTAGAGGGTGCAGGAGCAAATACAGGAAGCACACATATAATGTGTTGACAACACCCCATGAGGTGTGCATGCACACAAACACAAATGCAGAAACATTAGTAATCATCCAGTTTCAACCCCCTGCCACGAGCAGGGACACCTTCCACTAGACCAGGTTGCTCCAAGCCCTGTCCAACCTCGCCTTGAACATTTCCAGGGCAGCCACAGCTTCTCTGGGCAACCTGTGCCAGTGTCTCACCACCCTCATAGTGAAGACTTCCTTCCTAATATCTAATCTAAATCAACCTTCTGTTAGCTTAAAGCCATTTTGTTTCTGAGGGAAGTTTTGGTGCCTAGGTCTAACAGCTATGGGTGTAACAGCAGACTGCAGTGTGAAGGCAGCTTGCATGTTTAAGGCTGTTTACAGCAAGGATGAGCTTATTATGCTTTTTTGTATGTTGCTGCAGAAATAGTAAATCTCTGACAACTACTCCTGTACATGTACTAAATGGATCTTAGGAGACTGTTCTTGCCACTTGTCTCACTAATTCATTGTCTTGCTATAGGAACAAAAGCTTTTGAACAGTCTTAACTTCTAAACTGTTCCAGGAGTGTATTTGTATTTGTAGTCCCTCACACACCACCTTTTGAGGACTACATTTGAGTTAAATCCTAAGCTGACATTGTGGCTTACTGGCATTTAAGCACAGTTCCTGCTTTTATAGAAGCAGAAAATGAATTGAAGGCTGACACTGTAATTTAAGTCTCAGCTATTTACAAAAAGCTATACATCAAGCAGAAAAGTAGCATGCAGTCAAGCATCCAGGAAGTGTATTACTAATGTGTGCTGAAGAACTGTTTTGCAGTCTGATGTCTTACTGTGTACAAGCTGTTCTGTAAAATACTTTCAGCTAAGAATTTAGACTCTGTTCCTAATTTTGCTAATTGCAAATTTCCCTTTTTATTTTCTATCCACAGCTCTTCATGTCTTTCAGTAAGAGGAAACTTGTCAAGATAATTGCACTTAACTATTCTACCTTGAAGGAGCATGTACAAAACTGATCTTAAGAAATCAGTATGTGAAGTAACTACCAAAGAAAGATAAATCAAGAAACACATTTTTATGGATAATTTACAGAAGAAATACAGACTTAAGTCCACTAAGAGATTATTCTCACTGACTTACCCAATCCTATCAGTAAAAAGGCACAGCTGATGAAAGGAGGAAAAGAGGATAATTGGAGAATAAAATTGAAAAGAACACTTTTTCTTAAAGGAACAAACTACATGGTATAAACTTCTGAAATACTTCAGTGACATGTTTTAACTTCTCTCTAGTAAACTGGTATTTCTGCAGTATTCAGTGGTTTGGTCAGCATCCTATTAGTAGACTCTGGACTGTTCTTTCATCTGTAATTACTTCTGTGTATACATAATGATTTTGCTGCTGTTTAACTAGGAATAACTTGTAGGGATCTAACAGCAATCAAGGAAATGTCAAGTCTATTCTAAAATAATAAGGCTATTCAAAGTATCTGTAGTATTCCAGCTAATTGTTCTAACTGTGTAACTCAGGAGAAGCTACTGCCACTCCAGCAGTGTGATAGTATTGCTATCCAGATGCAGCTGGGGAAAACATGGTTTATACTAGGCTTAGGTGCCAAGTAAATCTACTGTCGAGTGTTGATGCTGTAAAAGCTACGTTTCTTCAACAAACCACCTATCAGTCATTTCTAAATGTGCTAATACAGTTTATACAAGAGGATACTCCTCACTTCATGTGAGGTGTGCTAAGTATAGATCTGGCAGAAAATACTAATTTTATAATGATTTTTTTTAAAGCTGACCATCTTCAGTTGTATCAGAATCTTGTTACTGTACACAGTCATTTGTATAAATTGACTTCTCTGCATCAGAGGTGAAATGACATCCTCTGTGGAGATTTTACAGTGACTTCTGTCTTTATAAATGAATATAATTTTTAAATTATAAATAAAAATACATCTGTGAAATGTTATTTTGCTGAATTACTGCTTACCTGTTCTTCAACAGCAAGAGAACACTTGACCCATTTAGAAGTTGTGTTTCAGGCCTTATATTGTATCTCACAGAGCGTGTTCATGTCCTGATTGTACTTGGGAACAAACAAGTGTTGGTTTTGTATTGCTGTTCAGAACATGATGAAAAATGCTTGCCCCCCGGACCCAAATCGTTAATCTTCATCTCTGAGGATCAGGTTTTTGGTACAGAGGCACACTTTTGTGTTTGTCCAGGTCACAGCTGTGCAAACAGGAATCTTGGCATGAGTAGCTTCAACATTTATTTATACAAAAGGGAAAAAAAAAATCTTTAAAACTTAGACTTTTGGATTCTCCTGTGAAGATGAACACTCGGCACATCATAGCAGGTAACTACTTTTTAAAGTACCTTATTTGAATACTGTGTAGCAAATAGTGAATAATCATATGTATTTTACATTGGCACTTACTAGATTTTTCTATTTTCTTGTAGATACCCAAGTGCCAGTCCTGGATAGGTAAGTATTCTTAACACTATTTAGCAGCAATTTTCACAGAAAAATTAAGCTGAGGTTTATTCACTTTTTCCTTTGTTCTCCATATATTTTTCTGTTAATTCCTTTAGATAACTTGAATATGGCATCTAGATGCATGTAAGACTCCTTATAAACATTACACTTAGTTCATGAACTGCTAAAAGTTATTTCTGTGTTTCAATTTTTCCTGCTCAGTTTTCAGAAGCATTTTATGCTTATTTAGGCAGATTGGTTCTAGTAGCTTTTACTAGAAATTAACTTTCCCCCAACACTTGAACAAGGATGTAAGTGCCCAGAACAATCTTCTAATGTAGTAATGATTGTATATTTGTGTGTGCATGTGCATAAGTGCACTGGTTTTAATTCAACTTTCTCCTTTAATTTGCAGCTTTCCAGTCTGGTGTTTTTCTTGCCTCTTCATGACCTCGTGTCTTGAGCAGCCTAGCTGGATCCCCTGGTTCCTGTTTCTTCTTGTTTCAAAATTCTGCTTTCCCCCATTTTACACCCCCCTACCCTTTTATATTCATATACATACACTAGGCTTTTACTACCTGTTTTGGTCTTCACTGGTTTTTCTAAGATGTTGGGTTCCACCCAGGATTTTCCACGTGGCACCGGTGTCCTGGATTCCCTGCCACAGCGGAATAAATTTCTCTTGTAAATCTCTCAGTCATGCTTTGGAGATTTTAGAGACCTGGTGGTCCTCCTCTACGTTTTTGCTTTGCTACTTTGTCTTGCTGTAAGTAGACACTGGAGAAGCGAAGGCTGTATCTTCTCCTGCTCTACTTACAAAGCACATGTATTAACTATTTTAAAGAAGCAAGAGTGCTTGTGGATTGTGGGGGATAAATGAAGTGAATGTGTTCTGGAGGTAAAAAAAGCAAACAATCCCCCCAACAGCACATCTCTCCAATATGTTTAGATTCATCAGATGTTCTGCCCCTTCCTGCCCTTAATAGGAAATGCAGTCGCATGCTTCCAGGCTAAATGTAGTTCCTCCTTTTTTCTTCACCCCCCCTTCTGTCAAGTAATCTGTATTTTTGTTCAGTTTTGTATAATTTTTGAGAAGTCTTCCTGTGCAAGTGCTCAGCTATGGAATCACTTGTGCTCCACACTGCAAGAGAATCACTGCTGGACAGAACGTGTCTTAGACTCATCTTAAATATGTTTTGCTTTCTTGTATAAAACACTCCCTTAAGAAATAATCTTTTGAAGATGTTTGGTTCTAAATCTCTTCAGTTATCTGTTCACTTCTTTGCTGACTGATTCTGAAAAAGCATTAGGCATGTGTGTACTGTGATCTTCTCTGGCTCAAAGTGAGGCATTTGGGGAAAGATACCAGCTTTTAATTTTAGTGTCTCTTGGCGTTTGTGGCAGATTTTGGGGTGTGTGAGTTCCAAGTGACTGTACCCTCAAAGTTTGAATTTTTCTTACTATTAGTGTGTTGCAGTGCAGCAGGGATTTAAAATCTTAGTTTAACTTCCATTCAGCTACAAACCAGGAACATACTAACATAGTGCCTTGCAAAAATATTTAAGTGTAAAGCTGTTACGTTTGAATTTCTGTTCATGTAAACTGCTTTTTTGCATCATTCTTCCTGTGTGAATCCTTTTTGGGGGGAAATGGGCTGAAAGGAGAAAATATGCTACAGTTTTATCCTCATTGAGTAAGGTTTGTCATTATGATTTATAAGGACGTGACTGTTTCCGTGCATAAAATGGTAAAGTGGCTTATGTGGAGTTTTGAAATCAAATATTATTTTAACGTGAAAAGTAGTGTTTGCACAACATACGAGCAATGAGTTTGGATTTTGGAGTGTAGAATATGGGGTTGAAGTTCTTACCATCGTGTGGACTGCTGATAATTTCATGGGAATTCTCATCAGAGGAGACCTCTCAATGGTTTTACATTTCTTTGTATGTTTTGGTATCATAGACCTATCCAAATAAAACAGTGTCCATGGTTGTGGGTTTAAAATACACAGATATGTATTTAAATAGCCATGTAACTTGTATTGCTTGAGACCTTTACAGTGGTGAAACTTAAAATAGTTCATCTTAAGCTAATTCAATAATAACTGCAACTTTGTTCTTTTTTTGTGTTTCAGGGAAATGAGGCAAGCTACCCCTTGGAAATGTGCTCGCACTGTAAGTGAAATTGTTGGTTCATATTCTTAGGTTAATCTTATTTGGAGATTGATATGTACAACTTCCATGAATCAGTTCCCTACTTGAAAGGTTACACAGTTTATATACTAAACATAAGAGGAAAATTAAAAGATTGAATACTACCTTTAGAAATAACACAGCTTTTGCTGTTAGGTTGTAAAATGAAAAAATCAGTCCCTCTTTAAAAAAGAAAAAAAGAAACCCACAAAACCCAATGTAATGATAGTTTTGATGTCTGTACAGTGAAGTATGATAACTGATAGCTGAACTGCCGGGGCTTCTGCATCAGCCCCAGTTCCCAGAGATGTGGAACAGCAGCTGGTGGTGTGGTACATGCTGTGTCAGGAGTGAAGTGTGTTGCCTGAGCTGTCTTTGCACCCTCAGAGGAAGGAGATTGAGGCTAAAGGAGTGTTCATTTCCCTGTGTGTGCTTGCAGCCAGGCATTTAGGTGAGAAGCCTCTTGATGTTACTTTCTTTTGGTCATGTGAGCCTAAAATTCGTTGCTCTGTCTCCGGGGGTTATTCTACCCTGTAAAAATAACAAAGTATTACTTGCTTAAAGCTGCCCAAAGAAAGGACTGTCTTGTGAAATGTCCCTGTGGTGTTATGCTGAGCGTGCTTATTTTTAACTGCTTTTTTCCTTGAGTGTTTTTCTTCAGCACTAAATCATGTGTAGACCTGTGTATGGGCTGCCTGATAAAATTCCTCATCTTTGGTGGATCAGATTTTGTTTATAGAGGCTAATAAATTCAAGATAAGGACTGTCCTCTAAATTACTTTCACAACATTAATCATAACTGAACTCCAGCTCTCAGAAGTCAAATGGTAATAGAAAATAAGTAATCATGGAGGAATCTTTTCCTAAATCTGCTTTTCAGAGAAATGAGGTTTTAGTAATTTGCAAGTCCTCTCTGCCAGTACACATGTCCACATGAATTATAATTTTGAATCATCAGTTTGGAAACACTTGGCTGTCTTACCCACAGCACTGCTGTGTTATGCTCTCACTGTATATTTTGATAAATATGGCTATGTGGGTGGAAGTTTTGTATTTGATGAAGATTTCAGTAGTCTTTTCCAGAATTGTGTGTATCAGTTTTGAGGTACTGCACCGCTGGCCAGTTTTTCCTTAGGGACAGACTGTCTTCTGAAGATTTCACTTTTTTTAACTAGATATATCTGTGACAGAGTTATAAGCAGTGTGTTGCCACCCTTAACTTCTGATTCTAGGAAAAGCTGTGTTTGTTGGTAGCAACTGCCAACCTAAAAGTTTATTACTGAGCTTGTTTGCCCCCTCTTATTGCAGAGAAAGAGATTTCTGCATCATAAGCTGTATGTAGAGGATATCCTTGTGTAAACCTGAGATTTCACATGATTAAAGCTTTTCTGGTTTGGTGGCTGTTCTCACAGAAAGTGAGCTGTTTGGGCAGCCCAGCTACACACAGTAGGGAAGGTGTAGTTTCCCTTGCTTGATTGTGTCTCGTATCTGCAATGGTCACACTGTGCTTAAAGATTCTGTGGGCCTGGAAAGCCTGGAGGAGGTGGGATGTTTTGGGACACAGATGTCTACAGTGACGTGTCTGTAAGTCCACTAAGTAGGTATTCACCTTGTTATTCAAACGTTAAATATTTGTGCTGCTCCAGGTATGTGTCACTGACAGGAAAAATGCTTTCCAGGGCAAGACCAAACAATGTTTATTAAGATCATTTGATAGAGTTTGAATAGTTAGCCTTTTGGGAGACTGTCAGTAATGTATTCATGCTGTCTGCACGGTGGCATCAGGTCATAACCTCTGCCTGGTGGTGCAGTTGCTATTTTGGTGTCTTGTTTTAAAGAGTAATTCTGTTGTGAAGTTGGCAGTTACAGGAAGCAAATTCAGCAGAGGATGCACCCTGTTAAATAGTTGAGAATATTCTTTTTACCCTTCATTTTTGGACATTAGTTCTCTTCAGTGGGTGAATTAGGGTTGTTGTGTCCTTAAACAGTATGGGCTTCCTTCTCGGCTGTGCTGTGTCTTGGGAAATCACTGAAAATCTAGTGCTGTTTTACATGGTGATAACTTGATGTCAACCAAGCTATGCCAAATTATCCATGAGACAATTTCATCATAGCAAAAAGCTGTGAAGAAAACTATTTTACAGTAAACAACATTACAGGAAAGTATTTTGTAATAGAAAATAGCTTCTAGCATTCTGTAGTATAAACAGTATTCTATAGTATGTTTTGGTTTTAGGGTAAGGAGGCTAGTATCTCTTCTCTAACTTAGGAAATTGTAATTGACACATCTGAAGTCATGAAAAGGATTAGGCCAGCTGCATGTAAGCATATACACAAGACAAGTGGTTGAATGTGTTCTCAAGGGCGTCATCTTTTTGAAATGCGATCTCCAAGACTGAAATGGCTGGTCTTGGCTGAGCCCTGAAACATTATATTCCTGAATCACACCACACTCTAGATAGAGGTGAGAGCTTCTGCTGAAGGTCTCTCTTATTTTGAGATCTCTGCCATCCATTTTTATGGAGAGGAGGGAAATATTTGTTTTATTTTTTAACCTGGGAGTGTTTAAAACCAATTTGAGTATGTTTTATTTACAGATCTCCTAATACCTTAGCAATAATCTTGTTTATAATGATCTCATATTTGAAAAATATGTGGAAACTCTGTTCTCTGTGACCACGCTTTGGCCTGTTTTTTGTTAGTTATAACTTTGAGCCAATAAGCCAATATTTTAAGACTGAAAAGCCAACCTTTTAAATACAGGTTTAAACACTTACGTAACTACTTAGATTTCAGAAGTGCTCAGCACCTCTGCTGAGAGATACCCAGCTCTTCAGAGGTTTGTACACTTCACAGATGCCTGTTAAAGTGTTGTGCATTCTGCAGCAACGGATGTACCGTGCTTCTGAATATATAAGCAATTTTCCTGTTAAAATATCACTGCAGTGGATTTCAGAGAGATCTGTATTTTTCAGGCATTCTTTACCTTTGGCTATCACATCAGTGGGAAGCTGACCACGTACCTTTACACTGACTAGAAAACATGATTACATTTTTTGACATGACTTTTTTTCAGTGCAGAGCACTTGCTGCACTCCAGAAATCTGTTTTTAATGAAGCTTTTTGAGTTGCCACTTGAACGTTTTTATCTGAGCATCAGTTGTGTGAATAACATTTTGGAACAGTTGTTTTAAAACATAACATGGCAGGGGGGTTGGAACTAGATAATCGTTAAGGTCCTTTCCAACCCTAACTATTTGTGATTCTGTAATGGATCATCCTCTGCTGTTGTGTTGGGGGAAAAGAGTGGAGCATTCAGTGGTAGGTGTCAGTATATTAGCATCCAACTGGAAGGGAAGCTGTCATACTAAAATGGGAGCGAGACAGAACATTCGCATGTAGTTTCTTGGAAGCATGGAGTCCTTGCATTTTAACTTGATTCATCACATTTTTAGATGTATGGAAATAAATGACAAAACAGGTATTGTTTGCTGTAAAATTGTAATACTTGGGTGGAAGAGGAGTCTTTTAAAAATATAGATCTTTAAAAAAAGATCCATAATACTGGAACTCTTTAAAACCCTCCATCTTGTTGTGTTAATTACAAGGTGAATGAAATTCACAATGCATTATGAAATAAAGTATGCTTTAAAACAGTGAATAACTTGATGTTTCTACACAGCTACCAGCAAAGCCTTGTAAAGAAGAACATTTTGCAGGTATTATTTCCAGCCAGTTAGTAAATTTGTAAGCTCAGGCATCACTACCATTGGATACTTCCTGATTCTGGTGAAAAGCATATGGAAGCACAGAGCCTTGTGTCAGCTGATGGGCAAAGCACAAGAAAGGCTAACTTGAGTTTGAGGCTAGGGGAATGCTCACTGCAGCCAGAGCTGAAGGAAGCTCAGGCCACTGTGGTGAGTCACAGGCAAACTCTGCCTCAAGTGATGTAAACAAAGCTTTAGCCTCCTTATTTTGCTCAAGGGATGTTATTACCCTTTTTACATTATTGTGGACTTGGACCTCCTGGAGTAGAAGAACTTCCTTGGATTTCCTACCGTTTTCATGTCTCTACCCTTGAGCTTGTCTTGTAAAACTGTCTGCTACTGCCACCATCAGCCTTTCCATCTTGGAAACCTGTAGTCTGTGAACTACCTTATGCCTGGTGTTTCCCATATAACTTCAGGGTTTTTGAGTGGGCATTAGGTTATCTGTAAGGAGCTTTCAGAGAAGGAAAGAAGTATTCGGTTCAGGCTCTGAAAACTTGATTCAGTACTCTGCTCTTCAGTGAGATTTTAAGAAAGGCAGTCTGCTGCTAAATACTGAGGAAAAAGTGCTCTTGTGGGAGGGGGCACATCATCATAGATGAGGCTGTTGTATATGCACATTTGGGGAGGAGACCTGAACGATAAAAAGGATGCTATTGAAATCTGCTGTTATACATAAATGCTGTTTTTCATTTAAAAAAATAAAATCCAAGGCAAATCAAACAAGCCCCAAACCCCAGAAAACCTCCGTGGTTTTCAGGTAAGCTTAGCCCAGTCAGAGAGAGTCAGTAGAAATTATGGCTGTGAATTGAGGGAAGAAAGAATAGACAAAACCAATGCAAATTGAAGCCTTACACTCTAATGCTTTTATCCATTACTATATTCTTAGTTTATTTTGAAAGCTGTTTCACAAAGTTGCTACTGAAATACAGATTTATTTATTTTAAGTGTACAAGTGTTTAATTTGGGCTTGTGGAAAGGATTTTAAAGGTAGGTGAGATGCTTGGGATGTTTTAAGGAAAAAATGATGAAATTGTTCTGATATGAAATTCTCATGCAGTCAGTTATGAAACGCTGATCTGCAGATGTTGTTTTCATCCGTATATTCATTATGAACGGAGGGTTTTATGCTCATGAACTGTTAAAGGAAATTTTCCTATTCCTGTAATTACTTTGATTTTTTCCTTATTTCCTTCTCCAAGTATTCTCCTCCACAGCATGGCCACTGCCAGAAACAAAACATTGGACTAAATTTGATATTTGGTCAGCTTTTGGCAGAGATACTAATTTCTTCAGTACTGTTCTTGACTTGTTTTTTCCCCCAAGAGTAGAACCTCTCTCGATCATTAGTGCAGGCAAACCCTTCGCTTGAATGTTTCAAGGTTTGAAATGAGACATTTATAATCCCAGTTTTAGCAGGAACTGCTGCTGAAGTTCTGTACCTGGACTGTGTATTGCAGTTGAATGGATTGACTGTATGAGGTATCAAATTGGATGTGGAGAAAGAATAACTAAGACTTTCAGTTTATGAAGACTAATTTTATAATTCAGGCAGTTGTTGCTTAGCTGCCCTTCAGCAAAACACAGAGAACATTCATATAGTCTTACGGTCTTATGTGCCTTTCCGACCTCTTCCCCTTCCCATCATCTGATTCTTGCTTTTATCATCCATAATCTTGGCCTCTTTGATTACCATCATTAAAAGAAAAAATAAATCAGTGCTTCAGCTTCTCTTAAGCATTGCTGGCTTGTAAATATAACTGTCTGGCTAACTGCAAATGCCAGACTGTTTGAACTGTGGTTGTTATGCCCAGCAGATGATGGCAAAGGGTGTGTTTTCATCATAGAGTAGTTAGGGTTGGAAAGGACCTTAAAATCATGGAACTAGATGATCTTAAGGTCCTTTCCAACCCTAACTATTCTATGATTCTACGATCTAGTTCCAACACCCCTGCCATGAGCAGGGACACCACACACTAAACTATGTCACCCAACGCTCTGTCCAACCTGGCCTTGAACATCTCCAGGGTTGGAGCATTCACAACTTCCTTGGGCAACCTATTCCAGTGCCTCACCACCCTCACTGTGAAGAACTTCTTCCTTATACCTGATCTAAACTTCCCCTGGTTAAGTTTAAACCTGTTACCCCTTGTCCTACCACCACAGTCCCTAATGAAGAGTCCCTCCCCAACATCCTTGTAGGCCCCCTTCAGATATTGGAAGGCTGCTATGAGGTCTCCACGCAGCTTCTCTTCTCCAGGCTGAACAGCCCCAACTTTCTCAGCCTGTCTTCATAAGGGAGGTGCTCCAGTCCTCTTATCATCCTCGTGGCCTCCTCTGGACTTGCTCCAACAGCTCCATGTCCTTTCTATGTTGAGGACACCAGAACTGGACACAATACTCCAAGTGAGGTCTCACAAGAGCAGAGTAGAGGGGCAGGATCACCTCCTTTGACCTGCTGGTCACGCTTCTTTTGATGCAGCCCAGGATACGGTTGGCTTTTTGGGCTCAAGTGCACACTGCCATCGTAGCATCCATTTTAACACTGTGTGTGGTGGACCACTTTCTGAATGTCCCAATAAAATGTTCTTCTTTAATTCATTTGGTAGGTCCTACTAGGGATAGGCTAGCTTGAGATACAAAGTACCTTTCTGGCAAAAGTTTGGTTTTGTAGCACATCTTGCATGGAAGAGCTTAGCTTTCTGCTTCAGCAGGCAAGTGTGATGGCGTAGTTGGTCTTGTCTATCTTCTGTGCCAGCTGTGGAGCAGTGTGTGACAACTTGCATATGTGATAATTAGAATCAGTTCCTAGCAGAACATCGATAGAATTCTGGGTCTCACTTTCAGTCTTTGCGTATATATTTGTGAGGAAAAATAAATGAGTTGGAACTACATGATCTTAAGGTCCTTTCCAACCCTAACCTTTAGCTCCCAAACCAGGAAATTAACTGGAGTCATGAAACAAGACCTTGCTTGATGCTGCTTCTGGATTCTGAGAAAATGAGGCTGGTAACAACGGCTGGTCTTTAGTCCTGGTTTTTTTACGTCCTGATTTGTAAAAATGGCATTGTTGTGTTCTCAGGTTAGGGTTTTCTTAAGTGTAAATTAGAAATGTTTCAGACCTTGCAGTTCCTTAACGCATTAGCTTGTGAGGCAAGGGAGATGTGGCTGTGTTAATGCTGCTTCCATTTTTCTCCATTCTGATTTTGTGATATGGCAGAACCATGAAGTATTGAGGTTGCTTAGGTGGCTTTAATTGTTCCGTTTTAGTCAGTGCTGGTCTTAATATTGGAAGTGGGAGTCCACTGATCTGGTAGGAGGATGACAGTGTGTTATATACACTACAGATAACACTTTCCATTTGCTGTTTAGTTTTATTAAAATGAACTTATTTTTTTTAAGAAATAATTCATGTACCTTTTATTGCTCTTGGTTTTTCCACTAGGAAATAGTTCTAATAGTTAACCCTCACAGATCTTACTTCAGGGTTTCTCAGCATAAGTTCTAGATGCAAATGCAAACTTCTGATTTCAAAGTAGATCATTTTGAGGGCTTTGTGTTAACAAAGTAATGGCCAGTTACTTGAAAGATGTTGTGATTTGAGTCCAGGTAGGGAAGCAGGAGAGTTGTGGTTGGTCTAGGACAACATGTTAACCATGACTAATAAAAGTCAAGGGAGACTGATGTGCTAGCTGGACAAATCCTTATATGCATTATTGTAATGTAGGTATAAATTATGTCTATTCAAATGTTCATTTTAGATTGGAAATTGCATTTACATATGTAGTGTGACAAGCCACACTTAATGTTTTTGTGCTGTTTCAAATGCTGTGAGGATTTTAATTTTTTTAGGATGTTAACTCCTATGGAAATTGCAACTCTGGAGTAGAACTTGTGGTAGAAATAAGGTTCCCATGTTCACAGCTTGCCAAGGTGCTGGCTTTCCATTAAACTCCAGTGGGTCCAATAGCTTTCTGGCAGCATGGCAGGGAGTAAAGGTAGATTGAGCCAACCTTTTCAAAGACTGACTCCATTTACAGCTTTCAGATTGTGAGGAAAATGGAAACCCAGGAGTTTCTGTGGGCAGAAGCAAGAGTTGGCAAAATACCTTCAGTATATTGGTGAGAAGAAGCATTTTGTGTTGGCGAACTTACAAGCAACTGTAGGGGCTAATTGTTGGCTCTGCTTTGCCGTTCTCTTTATACTGTTGCCTTTTAGTCTCATAATTATGCTCTGCATACAGTTTACCCTGTGATGATGTGGCACCTTTTGCATGATCTGGGAGGGAAGGTGGTTCTGTGTAGTTACGCCAACAGTAATGTGCTCTTGATGCTGCAGTGCGGTGTCGTGCTGTTAAGGGCACACCTTCAATCATGTACTTCAATCATGTAGGCTACCACATAATCTGGTGGAAAAAAGAATGTAGCTTTATTGTAGTCGAGAGCCTAATTAATTGAAATACCAAATTGCATACTGGAAACCGAGGAAACTACTTGTAAGCCTCTGCAGATGCTGTTTAGCCTTATTTTTATAGCCTTAGAGGCAGAATCAGATCTGTCACTTGCTGGCACAGCAAAGGGAAGATTGTTCTGGGAGTACTGAACTTTTTTTGCTCTCTGCCTTGGCACTTGGCAAGGAGTTACCAAGACTGACTAACTGCAGAACATCAGAACTTACTATTCAGGCAAAATAAGCCTTGACAGAAAATCATCTTATTATGCTTCTGGATTTCTGGCGTGTTCTCTGCCTTGCATTCTGAACTAACACAGTTGTGTGCATCTCTGGATTTGTGTCTAGTTGGTTTTTAGAGAAGGATATCAAGAAATGTAAGTGGAAGTGCGTTGCTGCTTTGGTAGAGGATCAGGTCTTTGAATAGGCTATGATTTCCAAACATAAAGCTTTGCATGTTGGCTGACCTTATGTATTGGAAAAAAGTAAGTGCTGTTTGGTTTTATGCTGCACTTGTACAAAAGGCAAGTAGGTGTTACGATGAGAAGCGGATCAGGTGGTCTGTAGGTGCCTTGTAGAAGTAAAGAAACAACTTCTGTTACTATTGGATCAAATGCACTAAATGGAGCTGAGAAGTGTTGAGGAGACTGTTCATGCTGGCAACGGCATTGGTGTGGGGAGTTTGAAAACTGCAGGTTCTGTGGTGTGGTGTTTACTGTGTGCTGGATGCTTTCTAGGACTTCCTCCTTTATACCCAGACGTGGTGAGCAGTTTGTGAACTAACTTTGGTGTTGTAAATCAAGCTGCTGATAGGGAACTTCCAGGTTGGTGCAGGGAAAGTTTTTGCACCTTTTCAGTAGTAACAGAGTACAAGATTTCTTTTAGTCATTTTAGTGTATTGACAGACTTAGTCTGTTCCTGGCAAAATCCGAAATCTAAAGTAGGGTACTTTGAGATTCTCTGTAAATTGAAGAGGATAGATTAGTGGTGCTGCTGCAGGAACTGAATCTGCTTTAAGTTCTGGGACAACAGAAATAGATATGTGCAGGTCATGGCTACAGGTATGCCTGCTCCCTGGTTGAGATGGAGGAGGAAAAAATTATCTTGGGTCTGTCTGGGTGATGTCTTGAGCAATAACTGGTCAACAGTGGGACCGTGTTAACTAACTTCACTTGGCATGTAGGCCAGGAGATCTCATGTTTGGTGTGCTGAAGAATCACTAGTTTTGCTAATATGCTTACTAATATTTTTTCTTACTTACGTGTTAGTCTCGTGTAGCTGTAGTGGTAGAGGCTGCAAAGAAAACTCCCTCTCTTCCTTAATTTCTTCATAGCTGGTATTAGTAAGAGCTGTCTGACTAAGAACTAGCTAAGCACCCTCAATCCTTAAAAATGTTGTGTCAGCATAGGGTATCCAGGGAGTCACAAGGCTAACTGTATTATGGCTGGTGCGGGCAGGAAAAAAGGTAAGGCTTATTTAAAACAAAAAATGGAAAAGCTTGTGTTTGTCTTCAGTTTGATGTTATCCTTATAATCTTCCATGAGTGTTTTAATAGTTGTAGTGAACTAGGAGAAATTCTGGTAGGAAGGCATTGTGTTTAAGTGGCAAAGGATTTACCGAAGCCTTTCTGAGAATAGGTGTTGATTTTTTTTCCTTTCAGTTGATGCTGATGAAATAAAACGACTAGGAAAGAGATTTAAGAAGCTTGATTTGGACAACTCTGGTTCTTTGAGCGTGGAAGAGTTCATGTCTTTACCTGAATTGCAACAGAACCCATTAGTACAGCGAGTAATAGATATATTTGACACAGATGGAAATGGAGAAGTGGACTTCAAAGGTAAGACATGGTGCTTTGGGACTGTTTATCAGAATTTCTAATAAATTGAATTTTTGGAGCTTAAGAATTCAAATCTTGCTTCAGCTGAGAGGGGTGAAGAAAACTTGTTCATCAAAATAAGGTGCTAATTCCAAGTGAAACTGAATTCCAGTAAAACTAGTTTCTCTGGCACATTAGGGCACTCCTGAGTGAAATGCTTAAAAAAGCAGATTGTTTAGTCATAGCTTTCCAGGTCATACCAAGTTAGGACTGCTCATTAAGTATCTCTTGAAGTGCTGTAATTCAGACTCTTCACTGTGGTGCTAATCTGAAGTATATTCTTTGGCTGGAGAGACTGAAAAAGTGGGTAGACTGTGAGTGGTGTGTCTGTGCAGAAGCTGTATTTACCCAAATGTTAGATCTGTCTTTTGTTGGAGTATTTTGAAAACAGCTTTCTAAGTTGTGGAGGTGGTCCAGATTTTTCTGTTGATGCTTCCTTTACAGGATTCTTTTTAGGTAGAGCTTAGGGAGGCCTTTCAAATGAAAACTGCAAGTTTTGATTTAGTTCCTCCAAAATTTTAGACTTATGTTAAATACTTTGATGAGAAGGGCGAGCAGGTTAAAAATCTTCACTACTGGTTGGTGTTAAACCGGTCTCTGACCCTTAGAAGTGTAATGTCTGTAACTTCTGTTCAAGGTAATACTTAATATCTCTTGTTGCTCCTGTCTAGAAACGGTTAATCAGTTTTTAAGTGTAGAAAGCTCTTCAATCTCACTTCTATTGACAGGCTGACATTTTAAATAAGATGTTAAAATATAAATGCCACTAACCTTTACGAAACCCCTTAAATTTCTGAAGAAAGACCTACAATGTAACTAGAACGTTGAGGTTTTGATACTTTTTTCTTGGTATCCGCTTCCAAAGCAGTAATTGTTGTATATAATTGTTCAAAATCCCCTTGTGAAAAATAAGCAGTGATAAAAGATGATGCTATATTGTATGTGACATTGAGCTGTGATTAATGTAATTCTCGAGAGCTGTTCCTCTTGGGTGGGAACAGGAAGTTGTCAAAAACAATTTTCCATGGTAAAATGATGCTGTTGCAGTAAGTGGCCATGAATTCTGTTGTTGTCATCTGGCCAAGTTTGGTTCATTTAATTTCTTCGTTTCTGTCAAAGGGAAGCTCACAGGAAAAAGACAGTAAACTGAAAGAGGGTGGATTTAGATGAGACATTAGGAAAAATTCTTTCCTGTGAGGGTGGTGTGCACAGGGTGCCCAGAGAAGCTGTGGCTGCCCCATCCCTGGCAGTGTTCAAGGCCAGGTTGGACACAGGGGCTGGGAGCAACCTGCTCTAGTGGAAGGTGTCCTTGCCCATGGCAGGGGGTTGGAGCTGGATGAGCTTTAAGGGTCTTTTCCAACCCAAACCATTCTATAATTCAAGAAAAGCAAAATTACTTTTTGCTTGTTGAAAGACCTAAACATCTTGGTTTTTTAGATTAATCTTTAAGCATAATGCTGAGAAAGTCAAGTCAGCATTTTATTGGTAAATCGTACCTGAATTGTTGATTTAATGTCACAAAACTTGTTCCAACAGGAGTAGGCCTTTCAACCTAATGCTATATTGCTGCACCTCTGTATTCTTCCTGTACCATAGTTTAGCTTCTGGTTTTGAATTGTTACTTTCATTACCCAAAACTCCAAGAAGTCTATTTACAGGATCTCACCCAGACACAGCACATCCCAGGGTTTTATTTTCTTGGCAACTCAGGAGTTTGCTTCTGGAATGACTTCATTGTTGAACAGTGTTAATTTCCTTTTTCTATTTTTAATAGAAATATATATTTTCTAGGAATCTGTTTTAGAGTTTTAATTTTTAATCTAATTCCTGCTTTAATTTGAGAAAATAATCTTGAGAGGAGCTGGAAAATTGGAATCCCCACTGGAGTAGCCTTAGCAGAGATCTTGGTGAAGTTTTAGATGAGATTCTTGTGAACATCTGGCAACAAAATTATTTAAACACTGGTGTGAACGAGTCTGGTAGTGAGAACAGTGTTGGATTTGGTGTACTTCCTACTAAAGAGCATTTAAGTATCAAAGTATTGACACCCATATGATTTAGGTTAATTTAGATGATTTTTACAATTTCTAAGAAGTGTTTATTTCCTGGGTATATTAAAAAATACACTTTTTGTCAATATTTTTCTTGTACTTTTTAGAATTTATAGAAGGAGTCTCCCAGTTCAGTGTCAAAGGAGATAAGGAGCAGAAGTTGAGGTGTAAGTATTTTAATTTTTTCCTTAACAGAAACTTTTTGATCCTTCAAAATACTTCTGTTGGTTAACATTGAGAAATTAACAAATCCAGTGGGAAATTATGAGGGTAGATCATAAGCTTTTTCCACACATCTGTGGAAGAATATGCCGGTGTTCTTTATTGTGGGGAAGGTTTGAGGAGGCTGCTTTCTGACTATCTTCAGTTGCTTCCCATTTATTCTTTTTACTTCACAGAACTGTGTAGTAATGTGCTTTGATAATATTCTTATGCTCCCATAAAGCAAGGTTTTGCTACTGTAGTAAACAGCACTAAATTCTTGGTTTGAGAACTGTATCTGAGGAATACAACATGACCCAAGCCTTCCGTGTGTGGAAGGGATGGGTTCATGCATGGATGTAGCTTCCAATAACTAAGAAATTCAGTGTTAATGCCAGATTTGCAGCAAAGCAGCCAGGTGGGATTTTGATTAATCTATTCCCTGGAAGGTTGTCATTTTTTGTGCTTGTAAATGAGCTGCTACCTGGGTGCTTTACCTTGTGGTGGTGAAGATTTTCCCGTTCAGTATTTATAGAGCTATTTTACTGCTGGTGCTAAAACAATTTCAGTTGACAGTTCTTAAGTGAGGTTTTTCTTTTAAATTCCATTGTAGCAGCATTCATTGTTTTGTTTCTGATGTTCTAAGGGTGTTGAAATCTCAACTTAAAAACACAGGATTTTTCTCACTTTGTGCAGGATTGTGTCATCACTTAGTGCCAAGCACA